GTGTGTTTGAGTGTGCGTGTATCTATCTATCTATCTATCTATCTAGAAAAGATATCTAAAAAGAATACCCGCTCGGCCCGGTGGCTAGGATCAAAGTGTAGTATCTGCGCTTTGTGAGCTGCCGGGTCGGGTGTCTGTCGAACTCTTTGCTTGCAGAGAGGAACCCGGACGAAGCTCCGCCGAAGGGTGGGGTTTCGTTGGGGAAGGTTGACGGAACTAGCCCGCTTGGACGGGTTTAGATGGGTTTTATTTTTGGCTGGGCCTACGGGCTCAGACATACCCACATTAAAAAGGCCTTGTGCCACATTCAATTCCTGTGGGTGAATTGATAAATACCATCTATCTATCTATCTATCTATCTATCTATCTATCTATGTATATATATATATATATATATACATGTGTGTGTGTGTGTGTGTGTGTGTGCCTGCGCGTGTTGGTAAGATACAGATTTTGAACAAAAGTGGAGAAGTTAGACAAAGAGGAAAGCCTTTTTACTGGCAACGCGTATCATTCATTAGGCTGTTATGTAAGTGTCGTCAGCTCAGAATAAATAATGACGGATGTTCCCTTCCAGATGCACCTTGCCATGAGTACTTTTGGGGATAGAAACTCCACCCAGACCTCAAGAAGCAGTCGTTCATACCATCCATCGCTAAAGATGCTCAGCAAAATGGTCGATTCAATGTATAATTCCAGCAAGTACCTCACTCTCTCACCCCCGCTATTCTGTAGCTTTACAAGAGTCTCTGTTAAATCCGAAAATCGAGAATATCTGGTTAACTCAATACTGCATTTAAAATATACGGGATTTTTATTTTAAGTATAAATCATAAATTTAAAAAAAATTGTGAATATCATATTATATTAAACATAAATGGAACTTACTGTTTATTTAAGTAAAATTGTTTTATCAAATTTTTGTTAAAAAACTGAAAATTTTGTTAGATAAGGAGAAACGGATTTAGAATCCATAAAAAAACAAAAAACAAAAAAAACATATTTATTTCTACTAGCACCCTATGTGCGAGAAATAGTCTGTCTGTAGGTGACAATAAATATATATATATATATATATATATATATATATATATATATATATATATATATATATATATAAACACGCACGCCCCCTGAAAAAATATAAAGAAAAGCGCGAATTTGTAAACAATGACTACTACTGCTGATAATACAAATCTTTTCTATGAAGCAAGCAGTGGCGTGTTTATTCAAAATAAATACGTAAAAATTCACCTTCCTCTCTGCTCAGAGTCGATAGCTAAGGGGAAAAAATCTCCGACTGATGCCAAATCAGTCATATTTCGATCCTGGCTTGAGGCAATCGGATATCTAGCTACACACATGAGCTGTGATACAGTGAAACAGTCTCTTTCTGCATGACAATATATATATATATAGGCGAAAATAACCATATTTTAAATCAATTAATTTATATATATATATATATATATATATGTATAATTTAATGAAAAATTGTTCAAAATATCCTGCAGCGTCTCACTAATCATTACATACTTTAACATCCATAATATTTTCTTACAATTATTTGAATGTTATCTGTTACTACCTTACACGTGACACGAATCGAATCGAAACGTCCTACTACATCATATTATTTTTACGCACTTTAGCGTCGAGAATGTTTGCCACACATATTTAAATGTTATCTGTTACTTCAATACACGTGACACGTATCTAAGCAATGAAATAGCCTAACACAACATACAATAAATTCGTGTCTCTTTGCTTTTAATAATTTTTATCATTTCTATCTTGATCTCCGAGGAAGCTTTAATAAAATGAAACATTCTAGATTAAGATCTGTTTCCAACTTGTTCACTTTTCTATCATTTTGTCGGATTCCTATCCATACTCGATATATAATCAGTGATACTATGTATGAGCCTGGTCGTAGGTTTATCGTCAGCACATTCTCAATGCATTTTCTTCTTAGCGAATGTTTATGTCCTCCGATCAAACTGTTTTTTATTAGGTCAACATTCTGGCCTGATTTGTACTGGTGAACTTCTAGTGGGTCCAAACTGCTCATATAATCCTTTTTCAGATTCCTAGCAAGCAGACTTTCTTCTTCTTTGTGTGCCGTCTCCCTTCAGGACATAAGCGATAATGGCTCTTCACAAACTTCCTGTCATATGTGGCTCTTAATTCTATTCTGTAATTTCTCCTAAAAACTGTTCTGTCATCTATTTAAGCAAACTCACAAAGTTTGTTATGCGTTGTTTTCCCCTGTCCATCCTGCCTTTAATCTGTACCGTGAGTATCAAATTATCCAAGCTCTCTTTCCTCATTATGTACTCTTGATATTTCAACTTCCTTAATCCTGATGTTAATTATGAGTTTCCTTTTTGATTGAGTTTTCTCTAAAATTTCGTTGTTGAAAGTGAATATAACAAATTCATCCGGAATTCGATCTCGTAGTGTCTCTTTTCAACTCACTAACCATTACACCGCCCACAAATCAGGATTAATATATAATATTCATAGATACATAGATAGATATTCCTAATTCAGACAAAGTTGAAATATTTTATATTAATAACGCGCACTTTCAACCGTCAGAGTCAATATCAAGAACCATGTGCTGCCATTGATATCGACTTGTCTGTTGCGAATATTCAGATAACGTTTTAGCTAATAAATACCTGTATATGGTGAAGTTTTGGATAACGGCTCGGATTGAGTAAACGGAGAGCCGAGTTCGAATTCCAGTCAAATCCATTACATTCACTTATGTTAAGACATTTTTTTATGTTTATACATAAAATGTCTTTAATAATTGTCGGACTTTGTCCATGTCATAATGTGTGACGTCATTTGTTTCCATTTAGATACGCATCGAGCAGATATAAATATTCGAAAGAAAATCATGGAGAATTTAGTTTAAAAACAGTGAAATCTACCTCACTGACCGAAACGCTCCTCTGTGGCTAAATCCGTAAAGCACGTCATATGACGGTTCCGTATAGGATACAGGTTCGATTCCTGTCGGAGGACACATATTTTCTATGAACATTCCTCGGATATTCAGGCCGGTAAATGTCGTTAATATTGTTTGTTATAAACAGAGCATTTACTTAAATATTTGTATCTATAAAAAAGAATGTATAAACATAAAAAATATCTTAAAATAATTGTCGGACTTTCTTGTCCATTTCTTACTTGACATGTGCTAATAACCTTGGGAAAGGTATAAATCCTCTTCTTCTCCACCCCTCTATGGGTAAATAGCAGGACAGTCTGGGTTCTATAGCCTCTAATGAAAACGGGTCTCTCTCAAAAAGAAACGGCAACCTACTGTGTGAAAAATCTGCCTCGTCAGTCATGTATCGAAAGATACATGATCGCCTAAGCGTTTATCACGCATGGCACATAACTGACTGATGATTACACATTTAGAAATGCACACGTCATACAAGGAAATATAGAGTGTATGTTATGATAAATATTGTTATATAACACTACTATAAAAAATATTGGTTGGTGTGAACGCACACGGAGCTCTACAAATCAAGAAGGAAAGATTTGTATTTGTTACTTGTGAGGAACTTTTGCAAATTATTGTATAATCGTCTTTTCTGTAGTTTATTTAATATGATATCAAGTAGTAAAAGTAGTTCAATTAGTTTTAATACGTAGTACATCATTATAATACGAAATGTTTCAACTAGAAATAATTACATCGATATTTACCATACCGAGGCTAACCTACCGCGATCCATGACGCAAGCATGCTAGACTAATTACCAGTGACCCTTTGGAAAGATATCAATTCTCTTCCTCTTCACCCAACTATGGGTAAATAGTAGCGCAGGCCGGGTTCTATAGCCTTAGATGGCAGCTGGTCTACCGCAGATAGAAATGGCAACCTACTGTGTGAAAAAATCTGCCTCGTCAGTGATGTATCGAAAGATACATGATCGCCTAAGCGTGTATCACACATAGTACATAACTGACTGATGATTACACATTTAGAAATCCACACGCAATACACGGAAATATGCCTACATTTGTATGAAGAAGGTGAATTTAAAAATGTATGTCTGTGTGTGTGTCTTAGATTCGATGAATATTCACACAGGAGATTTTAGATATATCCCATCCGGCATATTACGTAAATTCAACAGTGTTTTTTTTGTTTTTTTTAAAGTAAAACATTTCTGTTCTTTTTCTTTTTATTCAAGCCAAAAAGTTTTCCTCTGGTCAAGATAATATTTACGGAAATCAATTTATCCCTCATTGTTTCTTAAATATTGCGACAACATCATCGCTCTATGTTATTCGTTAGATTTTCCCCAAGCTCCTCACCAAAACCTTTCACGGGTATGTTTTATTAATATCTTTTATACATAGCCGCTGCTCTTGACACACTATGACAAGCATTATAAACAAATGAAATAAACATGAAATCCCTTATACGAGCCTCAAAACAAACATAGGTAAAAAGAAATAAAAATAAAAGTAAAATCTCTACACCGTAATGGTAACTGAAAAAAAAAGATACGCCATAAAAATCGAAGCTCAAAATGAAAGGGTATTAAAAATACATACACAAAAAAGAAAATGTCTGCCGGGAAGGCGGGGTTAAGGTTGCAAAACTGACTCGACGCTTAAGACAAACGATTGTATCTTCACAGGGAAGATTTGGCAAGCTTTACTTTCGTTATAAATCGCAACGTAAAGCAGACGCCCTAATCTAATAGAGAACGCTGAAAAAATATTCTTGGAGCGAAATATACAATTTACTGCAATGCACAAATTACATTACAGAATCTTTGCCCTATTCCTTGAACACACAACTGTACAACAAATACTTACATATAAATATATATATATATATATATATATATATATATATATATATATGTATGTATGTATGTATGTGTGTGTATGTGTATATGAAATACCTAGACACAGAAAGAGAGAGGGGGGAATGCACTGGAATAGCGAGTTATCAAATGTCATAGATAGATAGATAGATTGATAGATAGACAGATAGATAGAGAGAACGATAAAGGGAAATAGAGAGAGAGAGAGAGAGAGAGAGAGAGAGATACACAAGGACTGGAATGTATATATATATGGAATATAAAGAAATATAGTCTTAAGGTGTGCTATATTTATGGGATAAAGTGCTCAATATCAGAGATAGAGCGTGTGTAAATATAAAAGTGAACACAGAAGTCAACATTTAGAGGCGACAGTCTGTTTCATGCTAGATGCAATCGTCAGGCCATGAGTGCTATATATGGAATATATATATATATATATGCAAATGCCTAGACAGAAATAGAGAGAGACAGGTGGGGAAAATGCACTGGAATAGCGAGTTATCAAATGTGATAAATAAATAGATATATAGATAAATAGTGATTTTCCAAGCGTAGCTTGGATGTGGCACAAGGTCGGAAGTAAGAGGCATCCAGACAGGATCGATCTCACTACTCAGTCGTAATTGTTCTAGCGAGACAAGCTTGCTAACCATTACACCACCTCGAGGCGCCCAGATAGATAGATAGATAGATAGATAGATAGATAAAGGGAAATAGAGATACACAAGGGATGGAATTGTGAACTAACCATATCGTAAAGACAGGCAGGTTGATTGACTTTTTTTTTTTTTTAAGCGTTTCACACCAAGCAAGGCGGGAAGCCACTAGGACGCAAGGGGTTACAGAAAATAGCAAGATCAGATAGGAGTGATAGAGGAAAGGATGAGGGTAGTGGATAGATTAAGCAACTGGAGATGTCGATTGACATTACACTTGAATAGATGGAGATTATAGCTCACTGGGAAACAGGAGAAGGGAAGGGAGTTCCACAGGCGAGAGGTGCGAGACATGAAGCTATTAGAGTAGAATAGACGGCGACTGCTATCTAGCTTGAAAGACAGACCGCCAGCTAGGTAGCTAGATAGAAATAATGAAAGAAAGAAAGCAATCGATTGGAAGAGAGATCTAAACATTAAGAGTTGCAGAGTTATAGAAATGGAAGAGAATAGAAATGTGACCAAGGAACAGTCATATTGATAGCTTTATTGGCTCGTTTACGGCTTATCAATATTTTGCATGGTATTTTAATCCAGAATATTTTTTTTATATACTAAGAATCTTTTGACAATAATAACGATTTGCCGATAGAATTTCTACTAATTAACCCACAGATCGGGGAGAAGTGATGAATTCATACGTTTCCCATGGTTATTTGTGCGTAGTTGAATATAACTTATCTGACTGGAATTCAAACTCGGCTTTCCAAGTTCCAATTAAAAGCCGTTGTCCATTACACCACATATATATATATATATATATATATATATATATATATATATATATATATATATATATATATATATATACATACATACATACATATAATTATAGATAACTAGACTCGTTTCGAAAAACCCTCAATTTTGAATTGCTAATAATCAAATCAATCTCGAGGAAAAAAGGTTTTAAAAAAAAAAGAGCTAAAAACATGAACTTCTGCCGACAAAAAAAATCGCACAGGTACAGGCCTGAAGCCCAAAGAAAAAATCCCGATACGGGTAAACAAGTAAATAACAAAAGAGCTCAATACAACCGTAGAGCAGACCTAGATACACCTAGTGAGCCAGACAAACCTACCTAGGTTTCACCTAAACGGATCGTCAGGGGAATGTAAGGCTAACGAGGCAATATACGAGCATAAAGAGCATATATATATATATATATATATATATATATATATATATATATATATATATACATATATATGATATAATTTAGTGAGAGACAAACCTACCTAGGTTTCACCTAAACGGATCGTCAGGGAAAGTAAGGCTAACGAGGCAATATACGAGCATAAAAATATATATATATATATATATATATATATATATATATATATATATATATATATATATATATATATACATATATACACCTAGTGAGCCAGACAAACCTACCTAGGTTTCACCTAAACGGATCGTCAGGGAAAGTTTTCGAAACGAGTCTAGTTATCTATATTTATATATATATATATATATATATATATATATATGTGTGTGTGTGTGTGTGTGTGGAGAGAGAGTGAGATAGTTGTAGATAAATTGATCCAATCAGAGGTTCTTAAATGCATATGAATATATGTCAATGGTAACATGCACACAAATGTATGAGTTATAAGCACAAACTAATTATTGAATCATATTACATGGAAAACGAAGAAGTAATGAAATCGAATAAATTCCAGAATAATCACATGGGAAATTAAAGTCACAATAACATCATTGTAAAAAAGTATATACTGATAAAAAAAAAGCTACAATAAAATTCATAGAACAGTTGTTTAAACGCTGAGGGAGCTGTATATTATCTCACAGTGTGAGAGGTCGGTACACGACCCAAAATAAAAATTCAAGATTAATTATTCCGATTTTCAAATAATAATACGGGGTAGCTAGCTTGATAAACAAATGCACAAATACAGCGGCATAAATAGATAGAGGGACATATAATGATGAGACTGAGATAGATAGATAGATAGATAGATAGATAGATAGATAGATAGATAGATAGATAGATAAGAACAGAGATAGATAGATAGATAGATAGATAGATAGATAGATAGATAGATAGATAGATGGAAAAGACTAGAATGAGATAGATAAGAACAGACATAGATAGATAGATAGATAGATAGATAGATAGATAAGAACAGAGATAGATAGATAGATAGATAGATAGATAGATAGATAGATAGATATGAATACACTTAGATAGATAGATAGATAGATAGATAGATAGATATCATAGATGGAAAAGAATAGAATGAGATAGATAAGAACAGAGATAGATAGATAGATAGATAGATAGATAGATAGATATCATAGATGGAAAAGAATAGAATGAGATAGATAAGAACAGAGATAGATAGATAGATAGATAGATAGATAGATAGATAGATATCATGGATGGAAAAGAATAGAATGAGATAGATGGAACAGGGATAGATAGATGGATAGATAGATGGATAGATGGATGGATGGATGGAATAAGAATGAGATAGATGGAATGAGATGGATAGATAGATAGATAGATGGATGGATAGATGGATGGATAGATGGATAGATGGATATCATAGATGGAAAAGAATAGAATGAGATAGATAAGAACAGAGATAGATAGATAGATAGATAGATAGATAGATAGATAGATAGATAGATATCATAGATGGAAAAGAATAGAATGAGATAGATAAGAACAGAGATAGATAGATAGATAGATAGATAGATAGATAGATAGATAAGAACAGAGATAGATAGATAGATAGATAGATAGATAGATAGATAGATAGATAGATAGATAGATTGATAGATAGATAGAATGAGATATATAGATGGATAAGAAAAGAGATAGATAAGAAAAAATGAGATAGATAGATAAGACAGACTGAGAGAGAAATGAATATATATTGAAATGAAATAGAACAAATCGGGACAAAAGGAAAGGAATGATTTCTCATGTCCAGTTCTTATGCATTTGTGATTTTTTTGTTTACCTTTTGCTCCTAACAGTCTTCTTTTTAAGCATAAAGGTGGGTTTGTTATGGTGTGGAAGAGCTTGGCGGAGAGAAGACTGGAGATTTTATTCAGGTCAAGGAATTCGATTTGGCAAAAACATCATATGCCATGTGGTTTACACATAATTGGTATTATCACCTGTCAACAAGACAGCGATCGAAAACACTCTTATAAATTATGTTGAAAATTATCCATTGGACGGCACAATTTCCTCATTGAGTTAGCATGGTGTGAATTGGATCGGAGAGTTCGAAGAGAATATGCATTCGATATAGCTTCAACAAAATTCCGTTCACTGGATATCACTAAATGCTCAAGACATAGGTCCGACTTACGTGAGATAAGGTAAACAATATTTTTAAATCAAGCATTGTTTTTTGACTATGGTAATTGTTTTGATATCTGGCACTTTCGGTATTCAAAGAATTCACTTTTAAAAAGAATGATAACTCTAATGAAAACGGGTTCATTTACATCCACTAGGAACACATGAGATCTTTTGGAAACTTAATTAACCAACGCTAACGGCACCAAAGGCCGGTCATCTTCAAAAGAAATAGGTGTTCTATATACGAGGGTAGGTTAAACATTATCAGCACATTTGCCGTAACATCTATTTAGGTTTGTCCCGCTGACTTCAAGGAGGCATGTTTGTGATCACGCAATCGAAATTTGTGCTTGATCCCGCCATTTCTCTTCCTCCTGTTACACTGTAAACATGGCCGATTTTCTTTTCTTCTTGCATTTTATATTTACTTCTTTCTTCTCATTTTCTTTCACTAACACCTATAGGAACTTTTGTAGTTTCTTACAGTGTCTGCTATCAACAGTGTTTCATCAATTCTTAAGTATACGGCCGCCAATAATGAATCCTGATAGGATTCTTAATTCTCTCAGAATTGTCTCAGCCTATTTAAATAAGTCTAGTGAGAAGACACATTCTTGCCTTACACCTTTTTTTAAATTTATATATCTGCTGGTCCCAATTTCTACCAATATGCAGGCGGTTAGCTACCAGTGTAGGTTCTTTCATTTGACTTATTTTTTTTTAAAAGTGAATTTTTTGAATACCGAAAGTGCTGCATAAAATGGATGCCACATATCAAAACAATTACCATAGTCAAAAAACAATGCTTGATTTAAAAATATTGTTTACCTTATCTCATGTAAGTCGGACCTATGTCTTGAGCATTTAGTGATATCCAGTGAACGAAATTTTGTTGAAGCTTTATCGAATGCATATTCTCATCGAACTCTCCGATCTAATTCACACTATGCTAACTCAATGAGGAAATTGTGCCGTCCAATGGATAATTTTCAATATAATTTAGAAGAGTGTTTTCGATCGCTGTCTTGTTGACAGGTGATAATACCAATTATGTGTAAACCAGATGACATATGATGTTTTTGCCAAATCGAATTCTTTGAGCTGAATAAAATTTCCAGTCTTCTCTCCGCCAAGCTCTTCCACACCATAACAAACCCCACCTTTATGCTTAAAAAGAAGACTGTTAGGAGCAAAAAAAAAAAAAACAAAACAAAAAGAAAACGAAAAAAACATTGCATAAGAAGTGGACATGAGAAGTTATTCCTTTCCTTTTATCACGATTTGTTCTGTTTCATTTCAATACGTCTTCCTGTCTCTCGCAGTCTGTCCTATCTATCTATCTATCTATCTATCTATCTATCTATCTATCTATTTATCTATTATAAAGACATAGTGTGAGAATATGGGGAAACACTGGTAATCTAGTAAAGTAGTGTGAAAATATATTGAAACTGCAATATTATGTTAAAATGGTATGTGGATATAGTGAAATACTGGGAGAATATCGTGAAATATTTTGAGAATATTGTAAAATACAGTGAGAATATTATGAATCATTGTGGGAATATAGTAACATAATGTGAATATACAGTGAAACACTTTTAAAATATGTCGAAACATTCCGACATTTTGATGAAATATTGCATGATTATTACATATCACTTTGTGAAGATGATAAAACGCTGTAAGAATATCATGAACCTCATTGAGAATATAGTGACAATATGAGAATATAGTTACATAGTGTGCGAATATATTGAAATAGTACGTGAGTACTATGAAACCCAGTGAGAATATGGTAAACTACTGTAAGAATATGGTGAAATATAGGGACATAGTGTGAGAATATGATGAGAATGTTAAAATATAATGAAACACATTGAGAATATGGTAAAATAGTGTATGATAATTTGGTGTCATTGTGTGAGAATATGAAGAAACAATTAAGACTATGATATCATAGTGTAATATCATGAACCTCTAAGAATATGGTACATGTTTTGAGAAAATAGTGTGAAATTATCACGCATTATTTTGGGAATATCATGAAACATTGTGTGACTATAGTGAAATAGGGTTAGTATTTGGCGACAAGGTGTGAGAATATGGTGAAATAGGGTGAGTATTTGCAACGCGGTGTGAGGATATGGTGAAAAACGGTGAGTATTTGGAGACAAAATGTGACAATAGCGTGAAATAGTGTGAGATCTTAAGCACTCTGAGAATATTTTGGATCACTGTGAGAACTTAATGAATCACTGTGACAATATGGTGAAAAAAGTGATAATATATTTACATAGGATGAGAATATGAAACATTCAGAGATTATGGTGAAACAGTCGGAGTATATCATGGAACACTGTCAGAATAAACTCATATAATATGATACTGTGTTAGAATATGGTGTCATATTCTGATATTTTAATAAATCACAGCGATATAATTGGTTGGCTGATTTTGTTTAGCGGCATACCAACCAAATCAAATAATTTGAATGCAGTTTTATCCCTACAATTAAATATATTTTGAACGCTATTGTATGCGTTCAACTACAGATAAAATGCATTGTTGATCATGTTTCTTTAAAATGTGTATTGTTGATAATTTTTTTTAATATCAAAATGTATTTCTGGCATTTTTATATAAAAATGTATTTTTATAGTTTCATATTATTTTCTTTTTGTTTGGAGGAGTCACTATTTGCCCGTAGCTCAGAACTTAGCAAGATCTACGACTACTGGGAAAAACAGCAATTAAGTGGTTTTTCCACGCTCTTCAAAACTTCCAGTCGAAGGATATGAAGGCTTGCTTTCGGTTATAGTTTATCGTCATATGCAGGCCTTAATCACTGTGAGAATATGGTGAAATGATGTGAGAGTATGGAGAAATACTTAACATGGCGAAGTATTTATAAAACGAACAGGATGATAAATAATATTTACCTCTAATTCCATCTGTTCCAAAAATGGGATGGTAAGAATTAATAGTTGCGTATAGAAACGTATAATTAATGTTTTAGTAATTCTAAATAATACTTGAATTTTATATTAATTTTTATATGTAACAACTTTTATATAGGAATAAAGTGTCTCTGTCGACAGCAGAGAGCAAACACAGGTGATCCCATTATTGAATTAAGTAGACAACGTGATCGAAAAGGAAACATATATAAATAGGAATTAGCGTGACGTCTAATCGATCACTATTTCTCGTCTATCCTCTATTACTATACGAACCGCTATTCTCTCTTCGATTCACGATACTATTTCTCTATACTGACCACTATACGGATTACTATTCAGAATACTATACTTTTCGAGCGAGTACTATCAAACAAGTACTATTAGGGGGAGGGTTATTCAAAGGCGCCTGACACCATTACTGTTCAACGGCGTTACCAAAGTTGTAAAGGCGAATACAAAGTCTCTACTACAACGAGTATTACGAAAGTGACAACGAGTATTCGTTGACATCACAAATATATATATATAACGCTATAATTAAAAGTGACTTCAGTGAACACGTTGCCTAGCCTGAATTTCATATTCTGGGTACGCCCTCCTGGGTATTTCAAACCACCGCTATAGCAAACTGCGTCGATCGTCTGATGATTGTGAACTAAATGTACATATGAAACTCAAAGTAGAGCCCGGAATTTGAAGACATCTTTTTTGTAAATAATTGCTCGCATATAAAACTCAATCTAAATATGTCGCTGAGATGTAGAATGTGAATACTATGTGCATATACGACAAACATGGAATTTCTAAGACGAATAGGCCGTAGATATAGACAGTTGTTAAAATCTGTTAGAAACAGCTGAAATATTTTAGGGACATAGTCAGGAAAAAGATTTTGAGAACAGAACAATACGGATATTTTAAATATTTGAGAAGATATAAATGAAGCACAAGGAAAACTAATATTTTTTACCAGTATGCATCATAGCATTGTACATTATTGTCACCAATTGGTCACCATTTTTCGCCTGTTTATAAATGCATGAAGTTCCCTTCGAGAAACTACCTATAGAATCCAACAGAACGATACTCCTTGAAGCA